TGTTCAAGACCATTTGGGCTCCTGAAGGAAAACATTTGCCCTGTCACTCACGGGCAAAAAGCCAGAACAATGGGTAAGACTAGAAGGGAGCATGCATACCTTTCAAGGTTTAGAAGCAGATACCAAGCAGATCTATCAAGGAAAGCTCTTAGATTGACTCATGATTGATTGGTTTTAAAAGAGCAGGCAAAGACCTAGTTCATTCAGCACCATGAGGCACCTGGCCCATGCGAAAGATACTGCGGAGGGGCCTCAAATGGGTATGAATCATTTAGTTCGATCCCCGCCATCTCCACTTGGAAGGACTGATGACAGAGGGTCAAACTACACATTACATCGAGTCAAACTACACATTACAGGTAGGATGTCGTGAGAAGAGAGAATGTCTAGAGGGCCACAAACATCCCGTTATCAGAGCAAAGTCTTTTCACATCTCCCACAGTTTACAGATGAGCTTGTGTGGTTTTGTAATTGGATATCAATGCCAAAGAGAGGAGACAAGGTCCCCTCCCATTTTCTGGCACCTTGCATGAACTAATGATGTAAGAAGAGGGTTTGCAGGGCACTGCCAAGCAACGCTTGATAAACATGTATCCCTCTTCATTTTATTAGCTCAGGTTCGAATGGGGAGGCTTCTGATGGAGTCCTTTCTTTCCGATACATTATCGTAGATCCGTTGTGACAGCCCTGCAAGAGTGGTCCTTCCCCAGTCCTCCTCAGCTGTAGGGATGCTATTTTTGAATTTTATTTAATTTATTTATTGTACTAGATATTTCAGTTTGTATCCTAGGAGTTCTACCTGAAAGGCAGACACCTCAATGTGGCTCACCTGGGGAAAGGGCCTAAACTGGACACCTAGTTAGGCCTAGCTGAACTGAAGACTTCCTGTTCCTGCCCTGGTGCCTGCTGGGAGCCTTCTGCAAGAACAGGAAGCTAGGCAGGGACTGGCTTAGCTACACCTCAGTGCTTCCCGATTTAGGCCTTTCATCCAGGTGAGCTTCATTTGGCAGTCTGTAAGGTGCCTTTGTGTCAAGTGCAATCCCTCAGGGTATAATAAGACATTATAAGAAAAATATCATCGTAATGCAGGTTCGTCGTAATGCGGGGCAATCATTAAGCGAGGCACGACTGTAATGTCTTGTAGTGACTTTCAAAAGTTACTTTTAAAGGGAATTTCGAGGGATTGGCAGACGCATCTCAACAGAGGTTTCTCAAATGTTTTATCCTTCTCTTGTCAGTTCTCTCCAGCAAGAGTTTGGTGTCTCCTTTTGGATTTTTAAACATTTTCAAAGTGCAGTATCAGAGTCGGCCAGTAGGATATTTAGGGCTGGAGTCCGTGGGCCCCTGGAGAAGAAGCAAATAGCATTTACCTACATTTTGTGACACACTGGTGTGGACAGCAAGATGAGTTAAGAATGCAAAACTTGAGAAAGTTCTCCTGTGAACGGAGCCACACCATGAGTGATTCAACTGGTCCTTATGTGCCATCACATTGCTTCGAACATCTGGTGACCCTCTAGGATCATCTCCTGAAGCTCCTATACTTAATTGCCTTGCTCAGGTCTTGCAAACCCAAGGCTGTGGCTTCGTTTATTGAGCCAATCCATCTCATGTGTGGACTTCCTCTTTTCCTACCGGTTCCCACCTACCGAACTTCCTTTTTTTTTCCTACCGGCTTCCACTTGTCCTCTTTTCTGATGAATGTTTCCTTCCCCTGACACATCTAAAGTACGACCGGTTCAAATTTCATCATTTTTTTTTTGCTTCTGGAGAGTGTTCAGGTTTGATTCCCTCTACCACCTGTTTAATTCTGTGCAACCAAAACTTTTTTAAAAATTGAAATCCAGGTCTGCTGTTAGGTAGGCACGGACTTCAGTGCACCTTCTGGGGAAAAAAAAGAAAATATGAAATTCACAGCCACAGAGATGAATCTCATCTGGTTCATCAAATCTGTGGAACCCTGTGTGCTTTGTAAGGCTCTCTTGCATGTATCCTTCACAGCAGTGATCCCCAACCTTGGGCCTCCAGATGTTCTTGGACTTCAACTCCCAGAAATCCTGGCCAGCAGAGGTGGTAGTGAAGGCTTCTGGGAGTTGTAGTCCAAGAACATCTGGAGGCACAAGGTTGGGGACCACTGCTTCACAGCACATTTTGGGTGAGTGGATTTTTGTAGATTTCATGTCCATCAGAGGGAGCTCTGTCTCTCTCCGGACATCCAGGGGTCAGGCAAATGCCCATCAATTCGGTCCGTCTACTGTCTTTGGAGAATTGCAAACGTAGGGCATGGAAAGACCATCTTCCATATTTAAACATGCCTTGACAAAAGCTTCCAAGTCAACCACTGCCGGAAAAATTAATCACAAATTTAAATAAAAACAGATACGAACGGGAATAACAAAGCTGCAGGGCATGATTGACATTCAGAAGGCACAGCTCCAATGGAGATGTGAGACAGAAAATGTCAAGACATGATTGTTAGCCATTGGACATGTTGGGTGACTCGGAAGATTCCTGGAGATGAATCCGCTCCATTTTGTTGTTTCGTATTTTCACAACTGGAGAAGGAATGGAGGAATAGAGGAGGATGTACAATTACTGCCCAAACAAGAGAGCATTCCACAAAGTCTTGATGGATTCCTTTTCAATGGACCTGCCAGCCAGGCTTCCTACTTCATTCCATTTACTCCAGTCCAGGTTTTCTCTTTCCCATTCAACATGGTGTTATTTTGATCCTTTTTCATATTTGTATACTCACTGTTGTGAGCTTTAATATTAATGTTAATTTGTTTATGTTTAAATTCATGTTAATTTATTTAAAATATTTTTACCCCACCTTTTTCCTTAAAAGGACCAAAGGCAGCTTACAACATTAAAAGACATTATCTTTTAATGTTGTAACCTGCCTTGGGTCCCTTTAAGAGAAAAGGTGGGGTAAAAATATTTTAAATACATAAAAAAAAATAAAACATCTAAAATTCATGTTGTATCCTCATTGGGCTATTATGAGATTTTTCCCCTTCCTCTGGGAACTTCATATGGGTAGAGGGGTTGTACTTATTTATTACATTTTATGTTCTACATTTCCTCCAATAAGTTCAGAATAGCACGTTCTCTCTGTCTCCTTTATCCTTGCATCAAACCTTCAAGGATTGCTCAGGCTATAAGAGTGTGACAGATCCAAGATCATGCAATATATTCCATGGCCAAGCAGAGATCTGAACTCGTGTCCCCATGAATCCCAGCCCAGCGTTCTAACCACTACAGCACGCTGCTTCCCACAAGCTTGTGGGTAAACTCCCTGTGGTAAGGGGGATGGTGACATTTCGGCTTCATCAAGAGGCAGCTTGGGAATGAAGATGGCATAGCACTAGACATGGGGACGAATATAAAAACGAATTAGGATATTTGTTAAATATCCCTGATTTGTCAGATATTCGTTGCTTCGTATTCTTGGGGTCCAGAGACTCCAACGAATATGAAGCAATGAATATAACCCGTTTATATCTGTCCCTTCGTTCCCTATCGGCTTATGCCCCCGCGGATCAGCTGTTCTTCGGGGGAGTAAGCAAAGAGGAGTTTTCCCTTCGGGTGGCTTGCTCAAGCCTGCTCGAAGGGAAGCCAACCCCACCCCGAGGCTGGGGGATGGTTTGGTTCCCCTTTCCTCCCTTCCTATGCCTATGCAGCATAAGAAGAGGAGGGAAGGGATCAAAGAAGGATCATAGGGATCCCCCAGCCGCTGCAGGATCACTTTGATCCCTGCTTTCCCTCCTCTTGCTAAGAAGAGGGAAAGCAAAAAAAGGGGGGGACCCGATGAATGACAAATTGATTTGTCCTTCGGGTCACTAGGGGGGCAATTTTGGCATTTCGTTCCCATCTCTACTTAGCACACATCAAAGCAGAGTTGGTCAAAGGGCATGCTGGAGTTTTTCACAACCCTGCATGCTGCTTTTAGTAGGTGTGGCTAGGAGGGATCTTTCTTGGCTGGGTCGACAGTCAATCTCTCCAGCACTAACCAATGGTTCCCTCCTGCCTCTCGGTTTGAACAGAGCTACGCCTCTCTGCTAAGAGTTTTCCTCCCCTTTGAGCCTGTCGCTCAAAGCAGTCGTTATTTTATCTTGCTGTTATCCGTTCACCATCACCAGTGATGCCTCTGCCGTGACGTACCACTGTGGGCTCAGAAATGTACTACACTACCATCATCCACCAGTCTAATCCATAGGGCCCGCTGCACCATTAGGGAAACTGAGGTGGCCATTTCAGTCTACAGAACTGCAAGGTTATTTGAAATCATTCTTTTATTTGTTAAAACTGTGCCTCAACAGCCAGAGACAGGGGCTTGTAGGCTTTTTCTGCCTCAGATGCCCAACAAACTCTTCTGGCTTCAGATCTCATACATCCGCTGTGCCACCTCAGGTAACACAATATGTTGGGCTGGCCTTGTTGTTAGATGACATTTGGCCTCAAATCAAATCCAAAGTAGGCCAAAGGATATCAAGCACTGCTAGAGGCAAGAGAAGGTGGCCGTGTTGATCCATTAGATAAAACACCCAAGCGCAGAATGCTTTTTATCAGGGTCAACAGATGTAAGGTTCCAAGTCCTTCAGACCCCTTCATCTGGCTCAATGGTGTATTGTTGCTGTTGTTTGTTTTGGTTTCTTTTAACCGTCTAGCCTTGCTGAAGAGTAGGGCATGTCTCGTTGACCTCTGGATTTTAATTTTTTATTTTTTTGGAATTTAAATCCCTCCGTTTCTGGTGTGCCCTGTGTCCATACACAACCGGTCCTGAAACCTGAAACCTCTTTCTCCTTTCCAATCAGGAACTGCTTAGACCACATTCTCCAAAAGTGTTTAAAGAGGGTGGGGACGCCGGCTCTTTGCACAGTTTTGGGATAACCTCGGAACAGAGATATAAAGCTAAGGACCTGCTAACAGAACGTGCCAAGCTTTTTTTTTTTAACCCTTCTTGTTTTTGCTAGAGAAGGCCTTTTTGATCTTCCATAATGGCAGGGTTCGCTTTATTCCTCTCTCATCCTGTATGTATTTGCTTTCTGTGTCTATTGATGGCTTTTATTTCTTTCTACCTGGCAACTGCCACCAGAAAATCAGCTTTTAAATTGCCGCCTGGGCCGACGCCTCTTCCTCTCATTGGCAACTTGCACTTGCTGGATATTAAAAGGCAAGACAAATCCATCATGAAGGTAAGAGAGAAAAAGTGCTATGTGCAAATTTTGTTCCAGGTCCATTTATGCAATTCAGTGAGGTGGTGGTGATGATGATGCCCGGGGTCAGTTCTCAGTCTTGTTGGTCCATGGGGTAAGACCAAAAGCTCAAGCCTAAACATGAGGCATCAGGTTCCAAAAATGTGCAGGTGAGATGATATATCTGCAGATTTTTAAATTTCAGGGAGCGAATTAGCAGCCATTGGCAATTGTTTTAAACTGACAACCAAAGATTATGGGGGCGACTCCTGATGCTAATGGTATTATTATTATTCAAAAATACCAAACACAGTCAATCAAAATTGTAAAAAAAAATATTGACTGGTATTATATAAACAGATACAAGTTTTAACCAAAAACCTAAGTATCTGTTAAATATCAACACAGTATGTATCCTAATATTGCTGTTTCTTGTAGCTCTGATGGTGTGATTTCTGAGATCAACTTTTATTATTATTATTATTATTATTATTATTATTATTATTGTTGTTGTTGTTGTTGTTGTTGTTGTTGTTGTTGTTGTTGTTGTTGTTGTTATTGTTATTGTTATTGTTATTGTTGTCGTCGTCGTCGTCGTCGTCGTTGTCATTGTCGTCGTCGTTGTTGTCGTTGTTGTTGATGTTATTGTTATTGTTGTTGTTGTTGTTGTTGTTGTTGTTGTGAAATGGACATAATATCTTTAAAACATTGATTTTATATTTTATAAAATTCTGCCGCTTTGTTCCCAATGCCTGGATGATCATGGAAATCACTCAAATGTGTTTCAGCCACAAGCAAGTAATATCTCCTGCCACATCTCTACATTTCATTAATTTTCCAAGTCTTGATCTTCAACTCTGGCATTCCCTGGAATTCCAATGTCGATTATCCAGACATCTCTTTGTTCTGTTACGTCTGGTCTATTATGCTCAAAATGTCTGTCTGTTTGAACCTGTAAGTCCCGCAACACCTTAACTTGAGTGTTTGCTGGCACCTTCTCCTACCTGATGTTCCCACCAAAATGGGACGCTTGTTCTTGTGCAACAAAGATCAAGCTTTCGGTTTCTTTCTTGATCGTCCCCAATTTTAGCCACATCCTCATTAAATGCTTTCCATCAGTATTTCTCAAATCCCTAAATTGGGTACCGATCAATGGCTTCAGTCTTAGCAACCAATGGATTCTGTTTTGTCTTATCAACTATTGTCAGGGTAATGTCTTGTTTTTCCAACTGTTTAACTTATCTTCAAGTGGTTGTTTCTCATATTCCTCCCTTATTTTCTGTTGCTTTCAAGATTTTTCTATCTTCACCGTTTTAAGTAAATTTCCTCTGCTTTTGTTCCCACTGTGTTTCCCTGAAAATCAGACAGGGTCTTATACTAGTTTTTGCTCCAAAAATGCATTAGGGTTTATATTCAGGGGATGTTTTATTTCTTTCATGTACAATAATCAACGTTTATTCAAATACAGTCATGTCATCATCTTCTGTTTACTGCATAAGGGTGGAGGGCGGGGTTTCACTTAACTAGGGCTTATTTTTGGGGTAGCTTATATTATGAGCATCCTGAAAAATCCTACTAGGGCTTATTTTCACATTAAGTCTTATTTTTGGGGAAACAAGGTATAATTATTTTCTTCCTCGTAAGAGTGCACGACCTCCAATTTTCCACATTAAATAAAATCTGTCCACATTATCATGATCATGATCATGGTGGTTGTTATATGCAAAGCTTTTAGAAACATAAGCTTTTTGGACAACAATGCTCAGAATCCCCAAGTCGGATACAGATCAACGCTGGCTAAGTGAATTCTGGGACTTTTAAATCCCAAAGATGAACTTTCCCCAGCTTTGTTAATTTAAAATAAACAAAGGCACAAATAATAAAGCTTGAAAATAAAACAAATAAACCTAAATAAACCTTGGACTTCTGGAGCACATTTCCTTTTAACCTAAATGGGTAGAATGACGTTCCCGTTTTCCTTAGAAATTGGCAGGACGGTTCTTTCTTTATATGCATATTCCCCGACGTTTTAAATTGAGTTTTGCCTTGACTAGAATGGCTCTAGAGAAAATATGGTCCGGATTGCAACCAGGAGCTTTAAATGAGGTCCCTCTGGGCAAACACCCAACCATCTCATCCCACATCAGAATCAAGAAGGGACATGGCCGCTGAAGCCATTTTTGAGCGAAGCATTCTGCCGTTACATATTAATTTCACAGCTTTCAACTTCCAGCAGCTGGTGGGACTGGAATGTTGCCAATATATATGCAGATATGGCATATTCTACAGGGATTTAATATCCAATGAGCCACATAGAGACATGTTCCCTTTTTCAAACGGTTACTATCACATGCCGTGCCTTTCACGCTAATCGGCCTGAGGGAAATCGGCGCTTGACTAAAGTTTTGTGCAAACCGGTTTATTGAACGTTTACGATCAATGTTAAAAACTCAGTTATCATTTTCAGCGTCCTGTTTTGTTCTTTTGAACACCTCATAGTCCAAAAACTGTGTGTGGGGTTGTATGTGTAAAATCCTGTGGCATAAATATTGTCTTCCATGCCTCTGAAGGAAGTTGGCTGTACCCAGGACAGCTCATGCCAACCCATAAGGTGCCCATCTTAAAGGGGCTACAGGTTTCTTGCTGTTTATGCCACAACAGGCTGGCGTAGCTACGTCCTTGGAAGTTAGCTGTGCAGGGTGTGTTTGTGTGTCGGTATATGTGACATAGTGCACACACCTTCCATTTTCTGGAGAGCAGCAGAAAAACAACGCCCAGCAAATAACACATAAAATAGAATAAGATAAGAATAAGAATCCGTGGAGATAATATTCAATGCAATGCATGAGCTTCAGTCACTTGGATGGAGCAAATTTCCGTGTTTTCTTTGGGAAGGATGAGAGACCCATCAGTTGCAGGAAACGGGACTGTGTATAGTCCAGGACCTTTTAAACGGGACTTCTTAGCTCAGGCTATGAAAACCGATTTAAGAAACACCTCAATTGGTAGATGAGGTCCACCTTCGATTTGATTAGGCATCCTTCAGTCTCGAGAGACTATGGTAGTGTGCTCTGTATAGAGGACTTGGAGAGTGTCCTCTCCAGAGCACGAAGCCCGGGTAAAATAATACGGAGGATAGGCTGTTACCCAAGCAGCAAATCCCCCCTCTCCACGTTGCTGAAATAGTCCAATGGAAAGGCAAGAGTCAATACATCTGGTTCCAGCGACGTCGCAGGAGTTGCCAGAATGACACGAACTGCCTCTGGGACTCCGGCTTCGGATTTTGCCTCGAGATTAACTCCTGAAGCCTTTTCCACAAGTGGATATAGCCACAAGGCAGTGGAGGTTTGAAATCGGAGTTTTCCTTCTCCTTGATCCACCATCTTAAGCTTAAAGGCACAGGTGCATATGGAATGTTTTAACACTGAGAAACGGAATAGGAGGATAAGCGATGAGGGTGCTAGACCCAGTCAGACAGGACTGGCAAAGGAGAACTATGTAGCCTACATAATTAAACTGTAAACCACCCAGTGCTTTAAGCACTGCGGGTTGGTCTAGAAGGAGCCAACTTTGCTTTGTTACTTTCTGATCAGTACGATCGACAGATAAATGACATAGATGAGCAGGTAGCTGAAGGTTTGCAGGGGTCTATCAGCCTCGTGGTGTTTTGCCAAGGGGCGAAAAAACAGGTCTGGAAATGGGGACTGGCTTGAAAATTGCATACGTATCTGGATGATCAAAGTTGCTCTTGGGATGACTTCAAGATCCCCCACTCTGTATGGCCGAAGGGAATTCTGAGAGCTATAATCAGAACAATGAACACATCCAAGGTGTCTGAGATCTGTTGAAAGAAAATGTATTGATTATGGTGTAATCTTATAATCAAATGTGGGTTTTGAGTGTTTGTACTTTTTGCTACGTTAGGTGTTGATTGTTTCTACTTTCTTCTCATTTTCATGGCTGGAGCAGCCGATGGGTAGATTCTGGAGTTGGAAAGCTAGCCACTATATCCAAATTGCTCAGTTCCTGTCTTAAATCAACGGGAGCTCAATACATCAACATAGAGGTGTCATTAATTCAGAGAATCTACTCTGGTGTAGATGAACACTGGATTAAGGCCCAATTCCAGCTGTTACAATGGGTGTTATGTCAACAGACTGCCGATCATGAAAATTCCTTGTTTAACTGACAGGCTTACTGTTGCAGTGGGAAGCTCCTTCACCATAAAAAAAAAAATCAAGGCTAACAGTGTTTGTTAAGAAAACAGTTAAATCTAGCTATGCAGCTCTATATGTTGGACCTGTTACTCCCCAACCTGTCTCAGAGGGAGGGGAGAAGCAGGTGTTTAAAAGAAAACACACACAAGGTAGCATTGATCACAAAATGTGCAGTTGAGAAAAATAAAACACTATTCTCTCCACTCATCCACCGCATTTCTTTAAAAAGTTAGGAAGTATATGGTCGGTATCCTATTGAACCTCCAAGAAACACAGAGTCCTGTGAGTGTCGTAATGTGCGATCATACCACCTGGGCAAAGTTGTATGGTTCTGGAAGTAGTAGGTAGGAAAACGTTGCTAACATAAAACCAGTTGCTTGTGCTCATGGCATGATTCTAAATTATTATCTACTGGGGTGGGTTTTTGTGCATCTGGAGCTCTGGAGAATACTGGCTTGTGTGTGAAAGAAATAAAGACACAGAGAGGGAATCTGGTTGCTTGGAAGAAGAGAATAAGGGTGTGATCAGATGTAGCTTACATTTTGGGCCACTTACGGCAGGGTCTGTTTTCCACCAGCCAAACGACGCACAGAAGATGGTGAGCTAACCCACCCTTGCTCTGTGCCCAATCCGTATCTTTTTGGTCCAGCGGCAGGGCTACGTTGTTGTTTTTTTAAGGGGGCCTGAAGTGTTTGGGATCCGGGTTGCTTCGTGTGCAAGAAAGGGTTGTTTTAAGTGTGGTGGTGTTCGGGGAAGCGACTCTTTCCGGTGTGATCCAGCGCAACCTTCTATCGCCGTCTGATCGCAGCCAAAGTAAGAAACAAGCAAACGAGCAAAGAAAAAGAGAAGGATTAGAAGAGAAGGATTGCGCTCTACGTGGGGCTGCCTTTTGTCAGCTTCGCGCTGTAATGTGCAGAGTTATCTGATTGAAGAAACACACACACACTCGTCTTCTGTACAAAAAGACACGTGTATTAACAAATATACAAACTGGCAGAACTTCGGCGTAGCAGGCAAAATATAGACAAAGTGGCATAGGAAAGAAGGAGAAAATACAGTACATTAATGTCCACACTGTTTCCTTATATACAGTTACACTGTTCCTTCTATCCAATCACTGGAAGTGTTGCATCATCTTCCTCCACATAGGTGTCACCTCTTCTCCAGGCATTGCATCATCTTTTCCTTTGTCACAGTGACTCAGCAGTCACACAGCTGTTCATTATGGCAGCTCATTAATGTTACATTCTATACCTGTTCAAGCCTATAAAATTACAATATCTTGACACCTTTGAGACTGACATGGAAACTTCAGATGGTACAAAATGTGGCGGCCAGATTTCTTACAGGGGTGAAAAGGCACCAACATATTTCCCCCATGTTGGCTGCCTTGCGGTGACTCAGCAGTCACACAGCTGTTCATTATGGCAGCTCATTAATGTTACATTCTATACCTGTTCAAGCCTATAAAATTACAATATCTTGACACCTTTGAGACTGACATGGAAACTTCAGATGGTACAAAATGTGGCGGCCAGATTTCTTACAGGGGTGAAAAGGCACCAACATATTTCCCCCATGTTGACTGCCTTGCATTGGCTGCCCATTCATTTCTTTGTTGATTTCAAAGCTCTTACAATGACATATAAAGCCCTGAATGGATTAGGACCTCGATATCTGGCACAGCGCTTCCTCCCACTCAGTTCTGCCAGAGTCACTCGTTCCAGCCTGTCCGGGTGGCTGAGAGGCCTAATGCCAAGGGAGGTCCAGAAGGAGAGAACAAGGAACAGGGCCTTCTCGGCAGTGGTCCCTTGCCTTTGGAACAACTTGGCAGTGGAGATCCGCCTGGCTCCCTCTCCGGGAGTTTTCAGGAATAAACTTAAAACCTGGCTATTTGGGCAGGCTTTCCCTCCTGCCGTATCTTATTCTCTTATACTTTCTATAATACAGTGGTGCCTCGCATAGCGAGGTTAATCCGTTCCGGATTAACCCTCGCTATGGGAAACATCCCTCAACGGAACGAAAAAACCCATTGAAACGCATTAAACTTGGTTTAATGTGTTCCAATGGGCCCTAAACTTACCGTTGAGCGAAGCTTCTCCATAGGGGGGGCCATTTTCGCGCCCTCGGTAAGCGAGGCCACAGCGGGAAAAGTTGCGGCGGCCATTTTGGAACCGCCGATCAGCTGTTCTCCCCCGCTTCGTTGTGCAAAAATCGCTAAGCGAACCACTTAGCGATCATGGCACAGCGAAAAAACGTCATAGGGGCCATCGCTGAGCGAACGCTCCAGCAATGGCCCGGACCCCCTCGCTATGCGAATTCATCGCTCAACGGAGCAATCGCTAAGCGAGGCACCACTGTATATGTTTTTGGTTTTATTGTTTTTAAATTTGTAATCCTCCCAGAGTAGATCTTTGGTCTAGATGGGTGGGATAGAAATCCAATCAATCAATCAGTCAGTCAGTCAGTCAAGTCAGTCAGTCAATCAAATCACCTGACTGGCTGCTGGTCTTGGGAAGAGAAAACGCACCCGGGTGGATAAAAAGATGTATAAAGTTGCCAGTTGAGACTGGACAATGAAAGAGCTCTTAGCTTTGGGGCAGAGAAAGAGTTTTTCTGTGGTTGTGTATAGGGGGGGGAGTCATGTTACCTGGGTATGAATGTGGATGAATGACGGAAGAGAAAGACTCTCTCTAGCTGTGTGGGAAGGAAAGAATGCCAAGAAAGGGGTCCCAGGGTGAGATCACAGAACGAGAAAGGAAGGGTGCTAATTGCATCTGAAAGAATCACGTCGTCGGAGCGATTTCCCTTAAAGCCACCTTTCTGCCCATGGAGGAATCATTCCAGCCGAGCACCAAAACACTGTAGCTCTCCTGGAGCTGGACCCAAATAAAAAATATTTTAAAAATCCAACTTGGGCACGATTCAGGGCCAGGCTGGTTCGCGATCTCACCAGGAAATGGCTCCCGCCAGACCGGACCACAAGCAATCCAAAATGAGAGCTATCCCCCCCCCACTTGGCCAGACCCTAAGGAGTTTCTAACCTGTGGGACCCTCTTCTACTTGAGAATCATAAAATAGCGTGCACGAGCCTCCGTTTACCTGTTCAGGGCTGCTACCCTTACCGAACCTTAGGAACTGGGCGCGGAGAGCAAGAGGCAGGATTTAGTTATTCATCTACCTGGATTACACACACACACACCCCGCTCCCCTTCATCGCAACAGGTTAGAAACATTGTGCAATAAAAATCCTGCAAAAGGAAAAGTGGGGGGGGGGGGGAAAAATCCAGCTTTTTATAATCACTTCAGAACAACTAAGGAACAGCAGAGGGCAGACCTATCCTGGGTTTTATTTATTTACTTCAATAACAGGTTTGGTGCTGGAGGGAGATGAATGGCAAAACATATATTACTGCTCAAGAAGTTCACCTGAGACCTTCCGCTAGGTTAATGAGCCATTAAACATGACTTGCCTTTGTTTGGAGATCCCTCCCAGGTAAGGAGACTGCTGGTCAACAGGGTCTCCCAGGGTCTCCCTTCGTGCAAAGTCCTTCAGAGTTTGCATCAAGCTGTATTGCTTCTATTATTTTTTTCCCTTAACACTTGATCATCCCTTTGCCCAAAAGGCTGAAACTGGGTTTCTTAACTGGGAAAGCTACTGCACAGTTTCTGTCATAGGGAGAAGGTGGGGGGGGAGGCTAAGTCAAGGTCATGGATCCAAAGAACGCCAGCCTCTGCACAGGCGTCATTCATTCATTCATTCATTCATTCATTCATTCATTCATTCATTCATTCATTCATTCATTCATTCATTATCCCGCCTTTCTCCTTAAGAAGGACACAAGGTGGCTTACATCATTAAAAGACAATATGGAAAGCTGAAAACAGTAAGTGTAGAAATGCTTAAAAGGATCGGGAAAATACCACACTAACAGATAGTAAACAAAAATAAGACCTAACCCGAAAATAGGCCCTAGTATAATTTTTCAGGCTGCTCATAATATAAGCCCTACCCCAAAAATAAGCCCCAGTTAAGTGAAACCCTGCCCTCCACCCTTGTGCAGCCACCAAAACATGACATGACTGTATTGACCCCGCCCTCCACCCTTGTGCAGCTACCAAAAGATGACATGACTGTATTGGAATATATGTAGATTGTTGTACATGAAAGAAATAAAACACCCCCTGAAAATAAGCATCAAAAACAAAGCAATAAGGCATAACAATCAATTTAAAAATCCCACTCATTAAGGGAAGCCTGCCTCAAGAGAAAGGTCTTTGCTTCCTGTGGGAGAGAGTTCCAGAGTCTGGGAGTCACCAGAGAGAAGGCCCTTCTTCTAGTGGCTGGCCCTCTCAGAGGGCAACTATCTTGGCTATTCACTGTTGCCAAAATTTTGTTTACAGACTTCTGGCATTTCTGGAAACATCTCTTAGCCAAAAACCAATGAATGTGCGTTATTTGTTATGCCTCGTCCAGAACTTTAAACTATCACCGTATAGGATGGGCATTCCCAGAATCCCCCAAACAATACTCTAGGGATGACGGGAGTTGGCGTCCAAGGAGAAAAAGGAGCATTGCCCAAGCTCTCGTTTTGTGTGGCGGTTGTCGTGTTTTGAGAAACATGGACTCCTATCTGCTTTGCAGCTCGCCAAGAAATATGGGCCGGTGTTCACCCTCCATTTCGGGTTCCAGAAAGTCGTGGTGCTGACTGGCTACGAAGCCGTGAAGGAGGCCCTTGTGACTTTCACCGACGAATTCGTGGACCGACCCCCGATCCCGATATTTGAAGAGATTCAGCATGGAAATGGTAAGCGGAATGAGCAGAGTTGGCTCAACGTCTGCTTCTAACCCTTCTAACCATGTCAAAGGACCTCTACAAATTGTCTCCCGCCGTTTCCAGTGTTTCAAGACCAGCTTGAACCAAGTTGTTTACACTGGGCCCTAAGAATTTGTACTAACACCACCGCTAGTGATCCTCGGGGGTGAATCCCAGTCCGAGTGTCATCAAGACGGTACAACCTAAGCACTCGCAGGAGGTGTCACAGGCTTTGGAGAACCCTAAGTTTGATTTTGTTTCTGTGGGGTGTTCAGTGGGTGTAGAAGACTGATGGTCTTTTGGATGCGTGAAGAGGAATGGAGTGGGCTAGAAAAGGATGTGGCTGGCTGGCACATTGGGTAGGAGCCTTCCACACGACAACATTTTGTTGCCATGTCATCGGACAGGTACCATATTTTTTGCTCCATAAGATGCACCTTTCCATAAGACGCACCAATTTTTTAGGAGAAGAAAACAGGAAAATATAATCTGTTTTCTTCGCTCCATAAGACGCACAGACTTTCCACCCCCCTGTTTTGTGGGGAAAAAGTGCGTCTTATGGTGCGAAAAATACAGTACCTAGATATATAAAAAAAGAAGTATTACATGCCCATCTCTTCCTCACCTGTGCTTCTTGTACATTGACATGGGATGTGTGGATGTCATCGAGATATATCAATAAATAAGTGTTTGTTCTTCCTTGGCCCGAGTGAGGCTGAGATGTGTATCTGTTGGAAACAGGCCTTTTCTTTTCCACCGGGGAGCTTTGGAGGACGACCCGGAGATTCACCATGTACAGCATGCGCACCCTTGGCGTGGGGAGGAAGCTGATGGAGGACTGGATTGTGGAAGAACTCCGTTTCCTTGCCGAGAACATTAAATCTTTCCAAGGTGAGGAAAGCTGGGATGCCTTGAAGGTTAAGGAGATTCTTCGACCTTAAAAGCCCCTTCCTCGACCCCCAAAACTTAAAACTCTGAGCGTTTGTGAGTGCTAAAGTACCGTACACATAAGTAGCTCCGCACACATGAACAGTAAGGCAATAAATCATGCCCCATCTTCTCTGCAGGCCATGGGGTCTTTCAAATGATCTAAATACATTGGCAAAGAAATACCTTCTGTTAAAATTGATTTTGGCTGATAATAATGCTAAATAATGTGCTGTTGAGTCAATTCTAACTTATGATTTTCCAGGAAGTGAGTGTTCAGAAGTAGTTTCCCCTTGTGCTAAATAATGTGCTGTTGAGTCAATTCTAACTTATGATTTTCCAGGAAGTGAGTGTTCAGAAGTAGTTTCCCCTTGTCTTCTTCTAAGGCCACCCAGAAATGGGACCACCTTTTGAGAAGAATGTGTCACAGAGAATCTCATTCAAGCACCATCGTTTTCCTGGCAAACCATCCAGCTTCAGTTCAAACGGTGTATTGAGGACCTTTATCAGTAACTACTTTTATAGGAAAGCTGTGCT